GGCCTAGCCCCACGCACCATGACCCCTACTATGCACCTGAACAGTCCCTGCACATGCTGCCATAGATCTACTGCCATTGTCACTCGAGCTAGCTTTGATCTAGTTAGCTTGGGTCTGCCTATGCATGCTGCAATCACAGCAGCATAGACATAACCACGGAGAGTGACTGGCCATGGGCATGTAGGAATTCTGTAGCAGGGCCAAAATTTAACCTTCTGAGTCCCAATCCAATGCTCTCTGACCATCCCTCCTCCCCGAGGCAGGAGGGTGGACACCATTAAGCCTTTAATACCCTACAATCTCTTGCATTTTCCTTATTTGAATGTAACTACTTGGTAGCTGCCGCCCCATGTGCCAGATAAGTGCCAGGGTCACAGCATCTCAGAGCTGCCCAGGCACCTTCTGAAGTATGAACTTGACAATGAAATGGCAGCACTGAGAATTCTGTCACTGTGCTCTATTGCAGTAGCTCAGAAATTAAGAACATAAGAATGGCCGTACTGGGTCAGACCAAAGGTCCATCTAGCCTAGTAGTCTGTCTGCCGACAGTGGAGGGGGTGTACTGAAGACAATGATCAAGCAATTTGTCTCCTGCCATCCTTCTCCTGCCTCTGATAGAGGCCAGGGACACCATTTCTATCCCCTGGCTAATAGCCTTTTATGGCCTAACCTCCATGACATTATCTAGCTTCTTTTTAAACTCTGTTATAGTCCTAGCCTTCACAGCCTCCTATGGCAAGGAGTTCCACAGGCTGACTACGCGCTGTGTGAAGAAAAACTTTCTTTTATTAGTTTTAAACCTGCTACCCATTAACTTCATTTGGTGTCCTCTAGTTCTTCTATTATGGGAACTAATAAATAACTTTTTTTATTCACCCTCTCCACACCACTCATGATTTTATAGACCTCTATCATATCCCCCCTAAGTCTCCTCTTTTCCTAAACTGAAAAGCCCCAGTTGCTTTAACCTCTCTTCATATGGGACCCATTCCAAACCCCTAATCATTTTAGTTGCCCTTTTCTGAACCTTTTCTAAGGCCAAAATATCTTTTTTGAGGTGAGGAGACCACATCTGGACACAGTATTCAAGATGTGGGCGTACCATAGTTTTATACAGGGGCAGTAAGATAATCTGTGTCTTATTTTCTATCCCTTTCTTAATAATTCCTAACATCCTATTTGCCTTAAAGTAACAGTCCACCCTTGCTGTGAAGCAAGGGAGGAGCTATAGCGTTTGCCCTGCGTAATGATGCCACAAGCACTTTTTGACACACAACTATAACCAAATTTTACATGCAAAACATAGGTACTGACTTTTGCTGATGGATTATTTTGAAGGGGGGGGAGCAGCTATTTTCATCATATTGATATACTTCTTTCATAGTCTCGTCATTCAATGTGTCTATCATTGGCTTCTTTACTATGTTAACAATGAAATTGTTATAAACTACATAATGACATTATCATGAATTACAGTATATTAAAATCATTGCCTTCAAACTGTCATCAGTAATATCTCAGTTTAAAGACATTATGTCTCTCAGTAACTTTCAGTATGAAGCTGTCAGTAATCTTATTTACATCTAGGTGACAGTCCCTGGCATTTTCTTGATGCACATTAAGGACCGCTACATTATTCAATTGTGTCTGTCCCATTGATGACTGGAAATAATTCTTAAGTCAACTGAAGCTGGCAAATGAATTCAGGACAATATAAGCACTATCAGGATTCTTAAAAATGTGCAGTGCTTTGGAAACAGTGCTTCCGAAGTAGTGCAAATGAGTCCAAGACCTCTTTCTTGATGGGTAACAGCTAATGTGGCTACTATCATTTGTATCATGTATAGTTGGGATTGTATTTTGCCATGTGCACTACTTTGCATGTAACATTGAATTTCATTTGCCATTTTGTTACCCTATTTTGGGAGGCCCCTTTGTAACTCTTTGCAGTCTGTTTTGGACTTCATGATCTTGAGTAATTTTATATCATCTGCAAACTTTGACACTTCACTATTTACCCCCTTTTGCAGATCATTTATGAATGTGTTGGGCAGGACTGATCCCACTACTTACTTCTCTCCATTCTGAAAATGGACCATTTATTCCTATCCTTTGTTTCCTATCTTTTCACGAGTGCCTGGGAATGCTTTCAGGATCATCTATATTCTTAATTTAATGACACGCCTTTTCTTTAAATCTTAATCACCTTACCTCCATTTATAAACTCCTTTCTTCAGGGGCAGAAGTTGTTAGCAGCACAGAACTCATCACATTCCACAGCATCTGGGTGCTGAGTAGGGATGTCAACATGTAGTCCGCTACACAATTAACTGATAAGCCTTGCCCATGAGGAGCTGGCTTTAAGCAGGCTCCCCACAAGCACTGGATCTGCCTACCCCTCTCCCCCAAGCCTGAACTGCTGCCTCTGGTAGAGAGGCAACAAACGATTAGAGAGTTGGGACACATGACTTATGAGGCTGAGGGATTTGGGTTTGTTTAATCTACAAAAGAGAAGAGGAAGGGGAAATTTGATAGCAGCCTTCAACTATCTGAAGGGGTGGCAGATGACAGAACAAGTAGTAATGGTCTCAAGTTGCAGTAGGGGAAGTGTAGGTTGGGTATTTGGAAAAGCTATTTCCCTGGGAGGGCAATGAAGCACTGGAATGGATTCCCTAAAAGTGTTTTAAACACTGCTGAATTAGGGATGTAAGTGACAGGTCAACTATTTGATAAGCATAAGCTTATTGACAGTCGAGTAGTGATTTGGCTAGTCGTTTCACCCTTCCTCCGCTGCCTCTATCAGAGAGAGGCAGCAAGGAGGGGGGGCAGGAGCTGCTCCTGGGGGGAGCCAGCTTAAAAGCTGGCTCCCCACAGCACTGTCTCTATGGAAGTAGGCAAGGGCACACCAAAGAAATGGCCTGAGTGGGCACTCAAGCAGTCTCCCACTGCTCCATGTTCCCAATGCATTTGTGTGCGCCCCCCAAGTGCTTGGAGTTGGCCTGGCCCCGGGCTCGCGGCACATGCATGGTGCCGGTGCCGGAGCCGGTCCCAGGCGAACGGTGAGCGCCGGCCCCGGGAGCACTGTGAATTGGCTGCCCGCACTCTGGGCATGTGGCGCATGGGGGGAGCGCTGGCCCCGGGTGCACGGTGCTTGGAGGGGGCGCTGGCCCCGGGCACGCGGCACTTGGGGGGGGCCCTGGGCACTTCGCCTGCACTACCCCTTGCTGATCAAAATGCTTTGTTAATATCTTCTTAAGGCTTTCTTCTACAAGCCATTAGATAACATAATAGGGAGGAAAGAAAATTTTCTTTGTATCTGTTAGCCCTCTGCCTTACCACCTACTGCTTGACTGATTGTGAGTTCTTAGTAACAGAAACTATGATTTCTTGTATATTTGCACAGCAGTTGGCATGTTTATGGTGTTACTGAATCATAAATCAGGGCTACTCAACATGCGGTCCGTGTTTGTTCATGGTCCGCGGTGCAGTTTGAGTTTACACAGGGCTCAACACTCGGCCTGCAGGTGGGATCGTTTGAACATGGCCTCTATTGGGAACACGCTCCACAACGGTGAGGCATTTCCCAAGCGGGGTGAGCACTGAAAGATGCAAGCGGACAGGCTGGCTAGAACAGAGGGGTACAGGGTGTCAGCATTTCTAGTTCCCAGGGAGGAGGTACTGCGTGCACTGGGGGATTGTGTGAAAGAAGCTATTTGCATATATTTGCTTATATATGCAACCACACTTAAGTTGTGGCCCTCGGCATGTGCTGTATCATTGTGGCCCCAGAGACTTCAAAGTTGAGTAGCCCTGTTATAAACAATAATTGGAACATTTTCTACAGCTTTTCATATTGATTCACTTACACCAAGCAGATATACAACCTGGTGTAAAGGACAGAGCCACAAGGATCCAGGCAGAGACTCCTAAAAGGTGTCCAGTATTTTGTTTTATTTACACTTTGCCATTGACGGAGAAATAGAGTAGCAAAGCAGAGCAGCCAGTGCTTACAAAAAGGTCCTCTAATAAGTGAAGCTCTATGTACACTTGCCAAGTTAGTAATAGTTAAAAACCAGACACTCAAGCAGAAGTGCAGGAACCTCTCCTGCCCTGCCTCTTCTCCTGCCCTGCCTTTTCTCTTTCTCCCCATCAACTCGTATTTTCCCCCAATCCTGCTTTTCACCTCCCACCTCTTCACCCAGGTCAGGAAAGGGCTGGGAGCTGTAGTCCTGTGCAGGCAGGAGGCAGTGCTGGCTGAGTAGGGGCTGGCACTGGTGATGATCCATTGCCTCCCCTTCTGCAATAAATTGGATATTGGATGTTCAGACACTGTCAGCTCTCTTTTTCAACTGCATTTTCTTACCAAAAACCTGGCCATCCTTGCTCTATGAAACTACAGCTTTAATTTTGACAACTGAATTCCAACCTTGGTTTTTCTCATTTGTTGTGCAATTGAATCACAATTAGCTTTAAAGGCACAGGCAGCATTCAGAATCACTGTTCTATAGCTCCACGGGGCAAAGGCAAGGGTGTACCAGTCTGTCTGCATGTCTGACCTGACTGCCAAAAGTTGCAATCTTTCTACTTACTTTCATGCGATATTTGGCTACGCACTTCCGAAAATGGAGTAGGAGCCAGGCAGGGTAGCCTGTCCCATAACCTCTTTAACAGTAGTTGGACTTCTCGGATGCAAAGCCGCACCAGCTATGAGGAATCAGTGTTTGCAAAGAAGAGTGTTCGCGGGGAGGCGGCTGGGGCCTGTGCCATGAACTTCACAGGTGGACGAACCAGATCTTGGGGTGGCTAGAGGGAAGGACTCTCCCTCCAATGACAGTCGCTGCTAATGAAACAAGGCGCACACTGCAATCTCTGCGCAGCCACGCAGCACAGAGCAGCCATGGGGATGCAGCTATTTATAGCAGAGGGAGTGGGGGAAGATGCAGAGGGCAACAGCACACGGTGCAGTAATGCAAACGGGCCGGGCCCCTTGGCCCGCTCACCTTCGCACTGAGCTTCATGTCCCCACGAGGCAAGGGCTGCAGCTGCCCAGGGGCCCGTGCATAGCAAGGCCAGGGCCAGACCTACACCCGGGCTGCTGCACCCAGCCCCTGCGAGCTGCGGCCGCTGCATGGTGCTGCTGGCACGAGACGAGAGACCCTTACGGGCTGACCCCGCCCCCGTCTCTTCTCCCGGGCGGGGCTGCAAGAGCCTCGGTTGCTACGCTCGGTGACGACTGAGAGCACGCGCTTTTCTATTGGCTGGTAGCCTCCGGCTCCGAACCCGGAAATCCGGCCCGCTCTCTGGGATTGGGTGTTAACTGTCGCGTCAGGGAAGCGGGGTGGGGAGGGAAACAAAAGCGGAGTTTGATTGGGCGGGCGGCGGAGGCGCGGTGCATTGTGGGGGGAGCGGCGGCGCGGAGTCCCTCAGGCGCTCATGGCGGCGATCGGCGTCCATTTGGGCTGCACCTGCGCCTG